ATAATTTTAAGGTTATAGTTTTGGTTCATTTTTATAAGATCCATTTTCAAAATTGTGTCCATATTCATTGTTTTTATTACCAAAACTATCTTATATTAATTGTTTGGAAAGAATAAATATTTAGAAAACATAAACCTAAAGATGTTATAGATACTAGTTACTAGTTTAAATTTTGGGATTAAAGCATTTGGAGAAATGTTAGTTAAATTCATACCTTGGACCACAATTGCGAGTGAAAGGCCACTTCCAATGAAGGCGTATCCAAAAGAGGTTATAGCAGCAATGGTTGAGAGCCAAGTTAACTTGTGGAAGTTTGGGATTAGGGAGAAGAATATTTGCACAATCCCAAAAGCAATCATATATGGATTATTTGAAAACTTGCAATCAGCTTCATGGCCCTTATAATGGAAGCATATCGATTTCCTTATAGCCCTACACCACATATGTAATCACCATAAACCAGGGAAAATAAACAGAGATAAAAGTACATGAATTATGCATCTCATTATTAATTTATTACTATCATTATACATAATCAGCTACAAAAGTAGTTACAAGTAAAATGTCAATCAATGTAAAATACATACACCAAGCTTGTTGAAGTAGTTATTGTGTATCCCACTGCAATCCCAGAAAGCTTCACATATACGACCAATCCACAAAGCACATGCATTGTTCGACCTAATTATCAAATGACAAATTATGTAACCCATGCATCATAGAACAATTGAAATAGGTCATCGATTTGTGTACATAATATTATATTGATTGATTGTAAGAGCAGTAGTTTTTCTAATAATTAAAATTTATGGTTACCCTCATAATGGGTGAAAATTAAATTAAGAAAAAAGAAACTGGTATTTGATTGATACCTAAGTATGCACCAACAGCTTGCATGTAAGTGTAGTTCCTCTTGCCAGTGATAGGGTGTGGATATCTGTAGCAATCGGCAATGAGATTGTAAGTGTAAATGGAAATGCATGCAAAAGCAATCATAATGGCTATGCCTGCTATCCAACCAAGCTGAGCCATTGCCCATGCTAGAGCCAGTACTCCTGCCCCCACCACCACTGTCACTATGTGTGTCGTAGCTGTTAGCACATTCCCTGCAACCATACAAATTAACAAGAGTTCTAACACTTGCTTAGGATTTAATAATGGATTTCAGACTTCATTCTAGTGTCACCATTAACACATATATGATTCAAAATATTTTTAACCATTCATTTGCGAAACTGCTTATTAGTTGTGATGATAATGTTGTGTACATCTATTCTAAATAAAATAAAGAAATGTTTCCAATAGATAACTTTTTTTAGGGTCGCGTACATACACATATACATATATACTATATTAATTTATAGAAGAACAAATGATGGATCTGAATTCTGAAATATGAAGAAACTAAAGAAAATAAGATGTAGGAATATTAGATTTGAGAGAGAGAGAGAGCATACCAGTTCTTTTGATTTTGCCATCATCATCGAGTACCGCATCCTTCCCCGCTTCAACGTCCATTTATGTGATGAGATTATTAATTATCCCTTCTCTTCTTGCAAATCACAACTCCCTCCGTCACAGCTTTTAAAAGTATGAAGATATAATAATTAAGTGTACTCTACCTACTTGTGTTAATAAGGAAACCTTCATTACCATATGACAACCCAAAATGAAACTGGGAATATTGTCATCACCACCATGAAGCTACTTACGTTAATCACTTTCTTATATTCATATATATTATATATAAGGTAAACTTATGTATATACTTGTGTTGATTTTCTGTAAGTATCAATGCTTCTCTTCTAGTTTCAAATGCAAATGAGTCTCTTTGCCATTACCTATCTCACTGTCTAATGCAAATGAGTCTCATCATAGATCCAATCTCAAACTCACCACCGAACTCTTTCCTATATATATATAAGTAACTAGCACTTCTAAAATGCGGTAACGCAAATACGTGCACCTCTTTCTTTCTTTGCTTTCTAACATTCTTGATAAGATTCTACATATCCTCTAGTATTTCCAAATGTCGTAAACAAAATAATCCCAAATCAAAGTCAAGGTAATAAATAAAAACATCTGAAAATTTTGTATTAGGAATTTCCATTGGGTAATCATGGAAATACATTAAAATAATGATCCATAATCGATTAATTTCTTAGACAAAATATTAAAAGCATATTCATTTATTTCTTTTCCACTTTTCAAACTTTTATCATGTTTTAGAATAAGAGTATATATATAAAAAGTGAGAATATTTGAATGACAAATTCCATATATTATCAATTTAAATCATTAATGAATAGTTAAAATAATATAGCAGCCTTCTGTAATCCTTGCAGTAATCATGAGAAGCTTAGAGTATCAATGTTTAGCACAACATAAATCGTCCAAGTTATGTTGCATATATGATATGTGGTAATATAAATAATTTAATTCCCAAATACCCGATTCATTTGTTTCGCATTTTTCCCCTCTCTGGGTGGCACATTGATACAAAATAGCATTATAGTAAAGTATGCGCATATTGATTTGCGCACATTTGTTTTTTATGATGAGAGTTTAATGGTTTAGGTTTTAACTAAAGAGAAGATACATAACCAGGGGAGGTGGCGTGCGTGCAATAATTGTATTCATATGCAACAAGTGGTGGCCCTGTGGGGAAGAAGAGCATAGGCACAAAGTAATGTACTCATTAGAAGAAGATTCGAAGGTGATTGAGATGTTAGTAGTGCTGCACTTTAAGCTTTCCATGTGCAATATTATTTGTCATTGACTCTCAACTTTTGAAGTGTATTCTCTTAGTGGGTTGGAGGGAAAATGTTATAGAGAGTATGGAGAGAAAAAATAATCACACTTATCTTTTTTTATATCTTAATGTGAATTGAGAAAAAAATATGTTCTATGTGATCATAATTATCATGGTAGAGAGAATCCCAAAATTCCAAAAGAATAAGATCTAATTCCATACACATGATAATGTTTTCGGACAACATTTGTTTAAATTTCCATTCATAAAATGAGACTCTTCCCATTTCATCCTTCTTTTTTAGCCATGATATGATCATTGCCCCTTTCAAGTGAAATTGATTCTTTTTCTGTACCGGAGAGTCCAATACTAAAAAATGTAAGAGACGATAATTTTTTATAAAATTAAAAATCTGGACTGTTAAAATTTTATTTTTGTCATATATTATAATCTTATATATACATTGCAATTGGAGAGGAGTCAAACTTGTTTGAAGTATATATGCAATTGGAGAGTTGAACTTCAATTTGTTTATGAACAATCACAAAGACCAATTATGGCAAATCCAAATTAATTAATCACCAAATATCTTTGTTCTCCTTTTCTTCAATCAATGACATATGTACTCTGAAGTTAAACAATGGTATGTTCTACTATAAAATTAACTTACATATTTTCCTATACTTTATATGTTACCTTTAATTCAACCATTAATAAGCAAATATATAAAAAATTATGAGAATGTCATCATGTAGGTTAATCTAAAAGATATATCATCTTTCTTTTATTTTTTTCTCTCTCTAACCCCATTTTCTCTCATTCAAGTTTCAAACCTTTCCATTTTCTAGATCCATTCTCTCTATAACCCCACCTATTCCTCCACCGTCCATTGCATGTTCAAAACCACTCCGTCTATGGTGGGTTGAGATTTTGAAAGCGCCACTAAATAGATTCATTGATCTCTTCTATTTTTTGATTTGTGGGATTATATATATATATATATATATATATCCACTTGTTATCTATATGACAGTATTGTCATTGTCTTTGATTAGCCACATCAACAATTAAAAAGAGGAAGTTAATGTTGTGGGCCAAAAAAATGTATTCTAAGGCTTTGTAGGGAAGCTAATCATATTTCTTTTTTATAAAAAAAAAAAGTTTATATAAATCCCTTAAATTTTATCCTTATTGCACATGAGAATAAAATATATTCTCATATAAAAGAATAACTTATATCCTTAAATTCATTCAGTATTTGATATATGTTTTATTTCTCTTCCTTCAAGAAGTTTGTATTTTAAGGTTTGATTGAGATAAAATTAAAGTTAGTGGTTCCTATTTGCAAAAGGTGTAAAGTTTAAAGGAGTTATATACACTTTTCCCTTTTTATAAATAAGGATCAAAATAAAAATTATCATAATTTATAAAAAAAATTAGAAAACATTTAATTATTAATTATAAAAAGTTCATTTATGTGTAGAAATATTTTCATAATGAGGAATTAAGATTATAAGAACTTTAATAACTATATTTGAGAAATCAAACGTAAAGATATGGAGAAAACTTATTAGAGTGTGGTATGTGGATTTTATTTTTATTCTCTAAATCAAGCTTATGATTGTCCTCATTCTCTCCTTAATTTTTTCCTTATGATTGTCTATGGTAAGTGCATATGGGAAGCATTTAGGGGAAGGAGTAGTTGACAATTTTGAGGAAAGAATTAAAGAGAAAATAAGGAGAGTTATAAGCATAGTTTAGAGAATAAAAATAAAGTTGATGTGTTATTTTTATCTTGATACAAATTACATGTACCGCCAACACTTAAAGTACTACATTTAAGTTTTGTTCAAAATATGTACTCAAAAGTGTATAATTAATATTTTTATGTATCAATGATATAGTTAAAAAGTGTAAAGAAATTGTCTCAAATTATTCGAATTAATAAATAAGAAATATTTGGAAATGATCATATAAAGAAATACATATTATATATAAAAGAATGAAAAAACATGCTTATAATTATTTCATTCTATTTAATAAGTATAAATTAATAAGGTAATGGTTAGTGCTTCTTGATTTCCTAAAGTCATAGATGATATGAAAAGAGCAAAAAGATTCATGGAGTAATATGTGAAGCATTGAAATGTGATAATGTAGAAGTCTTACAGATTCCACTCTTTTTGTATCAATTGCATCAAGTAATATATGGTGTCACTTAAACTCGGAGACATTACAAAACATTTTCATTTTTAATATTATAAAGCTTTTATTAAATTAAATAATAGGTACATGAAAGATACTCTAAATATTAAAGAAAACAATGCTTCCAAATACTACTAATCAAAGATAATACCTAAGAGCTTAACTCATGACTCTTTTACATTATGGAATATTTATTAAAGAAAACAATGCTTCCAAATACTACTAATTAAAGATAATATTTATTAATTATATAACATTTCAGCACCATTCTCAATAATCACTTAGTTTTAGCAGCTTCTCTTGCTATCTGAAATAACATTAAGACAAATAAAAGGCAAATAATTAAAATGCTCCACATAACTACAAATTTGTACACAAGACAAATCATGGTATATGGAATCATTAATCCCTGAAAGTGACAAAATAAAAGTGATACCTGGAAATAAGTTTCAAGCTTCTTCTTCAAAATTGTATACTCTTGCTTGATTTGTTGGAAACTCTTGAAGCATCTGAAAAGTGTACTCTCACAACATTACACATCAATTTTATTAAAATTAATTTAAAAGATGGTCCATATATAAGTAATATATTCAAATATATGGTAAAAATATCAATTACCCCTCAGAGTTTTCTGCCGCGCAATATTCATTGAATATGTTACATTCATTCTTCACCTTCTTTGCACCAATGCTGTCAATAAATTGAAAACATCAAGCAAATGATTTTATGATTGCTTGTCCTCAACACAACCTTTTCTTTGGTTGTTCTTATCATTGCTATATACTAAGAAAAGTTTTAAAGCAATAATCATTGTTCTGGATTGGGCCAATGGACAAGCCCAACAAATCCTAATGTCATCAAGAACCATATTAGCCTCAAAGAAGTATACGAAGCTCATTTTCTGTCTCACAAAATGTATCACTCTATGTGTTATTTGTTGTGATTGTTTAAAAAATATACTTAAATTAAAAATTTAATAATTAAATATTTTTTAATCAATCACAATTATAACACATAAAGTATCACAGAAGAAATGTTACCATCCTCTTATGGATTCCAAATTTCCAAATAAATTAATATTCTTTGTAATTTGGAGGTTGATGATTTAGGTGACTTTTTCTCTAATCTAAAACAATAATGATTAAACTTAAGTTGAATTGACCAAAATCGTTTTTAGTATCCCCAATAGCTTTATGATGGGTCCATTATATATGCACAAATTCTGAATAGAGAAGCTATGATTACAGAAATTAACTAAAGCATTAAAAAATGATACGAGGCATTTTACCTGGAGCAACTACCCTTGAATTGATGCATATAGTCGTCTAGCTTAGCAAAATTTATTTGTTTACTCATCCTGCATATAACACAAGACTTACTACAACAACATTGAGTGATAGATTCACTCCTCACACAGATATATATATATATATCTATATATATTCAACAACTTACAGTGCTTGTTCTATCTTGTAGACCAATCTGACAGAATCACTGTAGAAAAGAATCACAATTTCTTCCACAAAATTAGGATTAACATCGTCTTGCAATTCCTCTAGCTGAATGAATTGCTCGTCAAGGAAACCCTACAACAACAGCATGAATATATTTTTACCTTATAAAAAAACATGAAACAAATTCATAATGAGTTTTTCACAACATGATATTCTATGTTTATTAGTAACCTCTAGATATCTACTTTTCCACATGGAATAATATTAATTATTTGTTTCACAAAATGTATTTGGTAGGACTAAGAACACTGGACCAAGCTCCTCTAAAGTAAGCTTATATATACACTCTCCATAATGTTTGGGCACGTTATTGAATATCATTTTGCAAGGTCAATTGTTACATATAATTGTATATAGTTTCTGCAAGTATGACTCTCGTATATAATATCATGATTATGCTTGTTACTATTAACTATATACTGCTTAATATAGCAGGTTTGTAGAAAAATTTATTTATTTATTAATTAGGAGTTAGGTTATAAACTTATTCTCATCTTAATGTTTTTTTGTACTACCAAGGGTATCCCTTTCTGGTGCATGGTTGTCCCTTCCAACTTCCAACAAGTATCGCTCTTAGGAATCGAATTTTTGACCTTTTAGTCATCTTGAGGATCTAGTGAGACCTTACACCTCTATAACAATGCCTTATTTGTATTCTCATCTCAATTTTTAAATGTAACTATGCAGTACAAGATTATATGTGGCTAGGTGTTATGCAGTACATGCAACTTTATGTTATGCAGTACAAGACTTTTTGGATTTGTAAGATATTGATTTTTGCAGATTGATTCTTTTGTTGGTAAAGTTGGAGTATTCGATTTTGGGACATATTAAAAAGAAGTCCATCCTCACCATCTCATTTAATGCATGTATTGTTCTAGAATTGTAAACGGAGTGATTCATTATTTTACACTTGTGGAAGAATGGTGAAAATGCAAAAAGAAAATGATCATTGAAAGAAACCACCATAAATTTTGGTAATCAGTGGAATCTATATGAAGTAAAAGGTCATTCAATTATGTTTCTAATATTGGAACATAGACTGCAAACATGTAACAACAGAGGCTGTTGACCTTTACAAAAGATCCCAAGATGCTCACTTTAGTAGATGATGACCACCTTGTCTGTGCTTAGATTTTTTCATATAATCGTGCGTGTTTGTTCCTCCCAACAAATGTCACTTACAACATTGAAAACTTTGATAGTGGTAGTAAAGAAAAAAAAGGAGTAATAAACTCTTGCCAATTATTTAAATACTTCAAAACTAGTATAGTGATAGTATAGAAAAAAGGAGACTGTGAAAGATATTCATATTTTATAAAAAATTGAGAAAGGTATTATCCAAAACCTATTTTATGGTAACATGCATCTAATCTAAACCTATTTTCTTAATTAGTTACTATAATAAAAGCACGTGTTAAAATATTAGTAAATGAAGGTAAAAAAAGACAAAAAAAAAAGGCTGCTGGCTTTACTGATGCAGACATATTTGCATAATCCGAATTTAAGAATAGACAATGTGTGAAACAATAATATAAACAATAAAAAGAAGTGCAAAAGAAACCTGTTCAAAGAGTGAGTTTCGCATGAAGAAAGCTTGTTGTTGCAAACGTGTTTTGTCCATGTCTACTTTTCTAAAGAGTGATCTAAGGCTAGCTTCAATTGAAAATCAAAACCAAAGTAACCAACTAAGAAATGAAAGATTACAAAAACATATAAGACTTAAGAGTGAAGGATATAGCAAGCAGTATTTATAGCAATATAAGATAGTTGCAGTACACTATCACCTTTGTTGTGATATTATTATGTGATGATTGGAGTGGGATAAATCAGAGAATACTATTCATTATTCAGTTATTACTATCATTTCATTCTTCTCATCTCTTGAAAGCAACTATACCCTATATTCATTTCATTTTTTGTACATTGCTCATATAAATTGACTGCACTAAAGTAAAAGATGCAATTAAAAGACATATTACTCAACCATCATGTTATCATTTTTCTATAGTATTTTTATTTCTTTATAAATTCAAAAATATCCCAACCCTTTAAATAAAACAGGTATACTAAATATCTAACAAACTTAGCTTCTATAGGAAAATGAAATTTGATGCCTTGCAGATTAAAAAAAAAGTGAAGCCCTATTAACATTACATCAATATATCAGACTTCCAAATTTCTATTGACATTCAAACCTGTTTTTTCTTAAAAGGCTGTGCACTTAATTAGCACTAAATAAATATAACCTCTTATAATAAAGTTTTTTGCCATATACATGACAAAAATAGAATCATTGACATCATACTTAAGAAACTCAATGTATTGTTGATAGTTATGATGGTTTAAGTGAGCAAATCATTTAGTATACTTAGGCTAACATGTTTATCATTTATAATATGTTGTGTTAAAACAAAATCAAATATTTGTGTGATTGTGTCCTTGGCAGAAAATCAAATTTTGAATGCAATTTTAATGTCTATCCATGTGTATAGAAAATACTTTTTAGAGCTTAAACACATTTTGATAATCTCTAATTCAAAAGGGATTAGTATCATGTGTCATGTAATATTATTGTCACACACAAAAGATTCCAAATCTATTTATAGGAAAAAATTGCAATTGCACAAGTGGCAATCGGTAAAATAAGAACTACTCTCCCTTTTAAGGAAAAAAGTCATTTTCAATAGAAACCATTGTCTGTGTGTAGAATCTGATCAGGGCAGGAATAAAGATATATACCAAAACTTTGTGGGAAGAAGCTAGTGCCATGTAAATATCAAAGCTGTGATATTGAGTCTATCATTACTTTTTTGTTCCTTTCCTTTCCACTGCAAAGTAGATGATACCAAACAAAGAATGCATACCACCTTCCTGTGTTTTATTTATAGAACAAGTTGCAACCAATTTCAATATCTCAGATGCAATAAATATCTATAATCATATAAATCTATCATTATAACTTCAATAGAAACTATCACCCGATCCTAATGCTAATTTTATTTCAATTTTCAAAAATAAACTATAAATTGTAAGTCTTTTTTTGGTACATAAATTCTAAAGAGTGTAAGTGGACGTCAAAATTTATTATTATTTTTATATTTGTTTCAAGAAAAATGATATATCATCTTACAAATCTTATTACACCATAAGAAAAGTAATATATGTTACAAAATAATATTTTATTTATTAATGGTTGATATATAAATAACATATGTACTTTCATGTGGATATAAGAATGTGTATAAGCATTTGATAGAAGAATATATTATTACTCTTGTTTCGAACAACATTATTTATTATATAACCTTATTACATCACTCAACTTATGTAAATAACCTTAACCTTATATAGTGTGATTTAAAACTTGGTTGTTGTTTTAATTTGTAATATTATTTACTAAACACTTTGTATATTTTTATTAGGAGTGTTTGGTAGAAAGAATAAGAATTTAGGTATATAAAAGGCATACGATAAGGCAACGATAATTAGAAGGTGAAAGTGAAACTTTAGAGATATTCAATAACAAGCCTAAGTTGTGACATTTATCAACGTTTTCATATAAGAATCTTACTTTAAATAAGTGGGACCCTCCTAACATGTATTTTCAAATAAAAGTCAGCTCACAATTTAAAGAAGTGATCTGAAAGATAAGAGACACGTTGTTTATTCTTCTACAACTACAAGCAGAGATACATTTTGCAATGCCACTCATGTTAATCTGTGTTTCTTTCTCCAGATGCTACATCACATTCACATCTATTTCTGGAACTCATTCTGTTGCGTGTCGAAATATCAATGGTTGAGAATATATAATATATGCTATGTCCATCTGATTGGAGAGATTAATATCTACCTTGTAGTACTATTCCATCTTGATAAGAATGTCACTGGCCTCACAGGGAGCCTCCAACCACCGGGATATGGGAAGAGTAGAGTCACAAATAAGACACCACATCTTGAACTACAACTTTAAAGCGTTAGTTCAATGGACATTTTCTACTTATAAACTATTTTACTTATCCCTGCATATCCAATGTGCAACTTCACACTTAATAAACCCAACAATATACATAATGTTATTTATATACATGTTATGTTACCCCACTTAAGCGATCGATTTTAAAATTAAGTTTTACATGTCATCAAAACAAGTACACAATTTCAAAGTAAATCTCACATCATCTTGCTTCAATCTTTAAGTGCATTTTATATATACCTATTGGACTAA